GGAGAAAACCACCACCACATCGTTGCCACGAAAATCACAGAGATGTGTCCGTGAAGTCGCTCAGCTCTACTACTAGCTGAATAGATACAGCTCTTTCCTCTTTGCACTATTTAACACACAAAAATGGTGATCAGCCTTCCCCACCCAGAGTCCCCAATCCTATATATTCTCCCCCACCCTGAAACTATTCAGTGCCCAAAATTTAGGATTTGTGACACATAAAACCAAAGCAGATCAATTCTTTAAAAACAGCTAAGCTGTAGTTAAAGAGCACCCATTTTCTATTATTATGCCAAAAGTATATTGAGCAGTGTTGGTGATCTGATTCTTGAAATTTGAAATTGACTGGTTCTTGAAATAAAGAGGGAAGAAAGCCATGGACCAGATGCAGCCTAGGGCCGTAGGTTGCCAACCCAAAGCAGCCGCAATACTTGATTAGACAGACTTTCGGATCTGCCTTAAAGGCAACCTTCCATGTTAATATTTTCTAGTTCTATTAACGCAGTAAAATCCTTCTCAATGACAAATTTCGTTAGAAATCCAATAGTAGAAGTGGTTCTGCCATTTGCAGACTGCAGCGTGAAAGAGGAAAGATGGTATAGCTTTTTCACTTTTATTGCTATTTTAATAAATTTTAATAATTTCCAAGATGGAAAGCCTGTAAACCTTTCGTTCCCGATTCTTAAAACGAAGCTTCCCATTTTGACTTTTTGACATTGGAAAAAAGCTTTGGCTGTTTGGAAACAAACAGAAGCAGGATCATGATGATAATCTAGTTCTTTATAGCGCAGGAATTGAGATCAGAATGGTAAAAAGGTAGGATTGTTAATCCTTGAAGAAAGAGTTTGCTTTAAGTTTTAACCAAACTTTCAAAATCGATTCCTTACAATCTGAAAAGGCAGCAGTTAGAGGGGCCTGTTTGATCTTTTTTTCCCTTGTTTTAAATGCTGGCTGCTAGATATTTTTGAAATTAGTTTGCACCCCCCCGCCTTCATACAGAGCTGACAACAGAAGCGATCAACACAGAAAAACATTCAGCCTTCATTGCAACTGTCACTCAGTTATATTATTGTTAGCTTTTTCCAATGGAAAAAAAACATCTATTACACTTTGTCTGCTATTGCAAAGTAACCCAAGCCCCAGTGCTCACATTTCACTCATTCTTGTCTGACATGGTAAATTCAGCAAGGGGAGACCTTTCATTTCTCCAATCACGTCTTTCAAACGCATCCCCCACCACCACCTCCACCAGGTGCAGGGAAGCCCTATAACGCAGGGTTCCTCAACCTCAGCAACTTTAAGACGGGTGGACTTCAACTCCCAGAATTCCCCACACCCCCCCCGCTGTCTGGGGGGTTCTGGGGTCGTGTATGTCACCACCTTTTAAATGTTGGTGGTGTTGGGGACCCTGTTGTTTTGGTTACCTTGC